GGATGTGGGAGGGGTCATTGGGTCATGGGGGGGTTATGGGGTGATGGGGAGATGTGGGGTCAGAGGTTGTAGGGTGGGGGCTTTGGGCTGTTGGTGGGGTCATTAGGTGGTGGGTGGGGTCTTTGGGTCGTGAGTGGGGTCATGGGGTCATGGGTGGAGTCAATGGGATGTGGGAGGGGTCAATGGGATGTAGGGGGGGTCACCAGGATGTAAGGGGGTGGTCATAGGGTCAAGGGGTCATGGGTGGGGTGACTGGGTCATGGGTGGGGACATGGGGACTTTGGATGGGGTCATTGGGTGATGACCGCCATATGGGATTGATGACCACCACACGGGATTGATGACCACCATATAGGGTCATTGACCACCATATAGGATTGATGACCACGATATAGGGTCATTGACCACCATATGGGATTGATGACCACCATATAGGGTCACTGACCACCATATGGGATTGATGACCACCATATGGGTTTGATGACCACCATATAGGGTCACTGACCACCATATGGGATTGATGACCACCATATGGGATTGATGACCACCCTATGGGTTTGATGACCATCCTATGGGTTTGATGACTACCATATAGGGTCACTGACCACCATATGGGATTGATGACCACCCTATGGGGCTGAGGACCACCATATGGGATTGATGACCACCCTATGGGGCCGAGGACCACCATATAGGGTCACAGACCCCCCCCCCCACCCCATACCTTCTTATCCTGCAGGTCGGTGGAGAGCTCGTAGCTGTCGCTCAGAGCCTTCGGCCTCTTGCTCTCCTCCTCCTCCTCCTGCTTGCGCAGCGCCACGCTGGCGGGTTGGGGGGGCAGCCGAGGCCAGGCCACGGCCGGAGACCCCCCACTCCCACCGGGACCCCCACCGGGACCCCCCCCGGCATTTTGGGGGGTGGGTTGAGGTAAACCACGGTATGGGGGGGGACGGCTGGGACTGTCGGGAACGGGAACTCCAACGTCGCTGCCCGGCACTTCGCCATCCACACTATGGGGTGTGGGGGGGGGTCAGCAATGCTGGCAGATGCCCCCAGAGCCCCAGAGAACCCCCCCACGGACCCCCTATAGATCCCTGTATACAACCAGAGAACCTTCAGACCCCCAGAACCCCCCCTATAGACCCCTATAGACCACCAGAGACCCTTGAGACCCCTTCTGTCCCCCCTGAGACCCCCAAGAACCCCCCCAAAATCCCTCCAGAGACCCTTGAGACCCCCAGAATCCCCCTATAGACCCCTATAGAATCCTATATACAACCAGAGACCCTTCAGACCCCCAGAACCCCCCTATAGACCCCTATAGACCACCAGAGACT